GCTATTAGAAGCACAATGGATCAGGCAGGGTTTGTCTTTTCTTGGATGGGACACTAACTTTAGCTGTTAGAGCATTTAATCTAATTCACAGGTGAGAGGAGGTAGCAATTCAACCAAAGGCCTAGGAATTCTGTAGAAATGAGCTAAGATCAATGGGGTTTGGGTTGTCAAAGGAAAGGGAGACAAGGGCATCTTTAAACCTGCAGCTTGAGCAGCCAGTAACAATCACTTTTTGCAACTTCTGTATATTGCTGCCTAAGTGTATCGAGTGTCTGTGTATTGCTGCCTAAGTGTATCGCGTGTGATCTACAAATGAGACTTCTGTGAATAGCTTGATTGCTTAACACAAGTGGGTTTTAGATAAATCTCATGTATCTGTTCCATACCACCCTGTGTTGCTGGATTTCAAAGTGTTGGCGAAACACTAGGGTGGTGAGATGCTATCTAGCACTTAGCTAATAAGCATAAGTGTGGCCCTGATGGCAGTGAGACCACACCTGTACCACTCAGAGCTACAACCTCAGATTTTAGGATCACCCAAGGCTACCTATTTTCTTTGATAAACACCTTTCCATATTTTTTTAGTGTGCTGACTCATGCAATTCTAATGGCATTTTTATTGTTCAGGCAAGCATTGCATCTTTTGTTTTGGAGGCACCAAACTTAGGAAAACGTTGGAGTATCATTTCATAAGTCCAGGCCTTGAAGTATTTCTCTAAAGACAGAACGTTATGGATGACACCCATCCTTACCCAAAAAAGAGTCAGTCATGTGACGTACGGAATAAAGAACATTCAGAGTTGTTGGGATTGGTGCCGAACTGTGAGAAAGACACTGGCCCCTTCTTATAGCAACCATAGTGAGTGAGACAAACGCACCACTCCAATCTGACATCAGCTGTATCTCAGGAGACATAACATGATTTATAGCAACACTGAATCCAGGTTACAGACAGCAAGAAGGCCCATATGGTACTAGGTATTTTTTTGGCAACCAATGTGATTTATTTAACAACCTACGGCTTTAAACGCAGAGCCAGAGAATTATTTAAGGATGTGACAGATCTTTAGATTTAGCCTAAGATAGTTTGGTCCAACATTTTTGTTTTGAATGGAAAAAAAAACCCAACTGATCCCAGAGTTAGCAGATAACTTGTGCAGTGCTGACCTAAAGACACTTGAGGGTTACTCACCGAACATTCTACCACTTCCTAAGTGGAAGATAAGGGGAAGAATATTTATTTTAAGAGACAGTAGATTAGATTTATTTAGAACTTTGAAAAACAGAGGCTTGGGAGATAACGCAGTCAGTGATATGTTAAGACGTAAGTTCAAGCCCTAGAAACCATGCTGAAATGCTAGGTGTGGCATGCACTGACCGGCTCGGTTCTGGAACAGACAGATCCCTGGGCCCTGCTGGTTGGCCGGCTTTGTCTGCTCAGCAAGTGCTAGGCCAATATGCCCTGTTTCAAAACAAACAAACACAAAAAACACCCCAAAACAAAACAAGGCGGGTTGTTTTTGATGAATGATACCAGAGGCTAACCTTTAGTTTCTACATGTGTGTGCACACAGTGTATACACACATACCTGCATACAAATATGCACTCACACAAACACCCTACACACAGACACACAGAGGCAGAGAGAGAGAGAGAGGAAGAGAGAGAGAGAGAGACAGACAGAGAGAGAGAGGGAGGGAGGGTGATGGAGAGGGAGAGAGAGATAGGGAGGGAAGAGAGAGAGGGAGAGAGATAGAGGGAGATAGAGAGAGAGAGAGAGAGGGAGGGAGAGAGAGAGAGAGAGAGAGAGAGAGAGAGAGAGAGAGAGAGAGAGAGAGAGAGAGAGAGAGAGAGAGAGAGAGAGAAAGAGAGAGAGAGGACTTGGACCCAAACCACACAGTGACCTCTCAGTGTCATCTCGGGGACCACACCCAGTTACCACCTGCCTGGCTTGCAGCAGCCTCAACTCAAGGTTGTTGGAAGGGGATACTGGCAACAAATGCTCACAGCCCAGTGATCGCTGTTCTTTTCTCTTCTACGCCACTGTCTTTATTCTGCTCATCACAGCAGCTTTCCTTTCCACGGCCCTCAAACCCGGGGCAGCCCACGGCTGCCGGAGGCTTCCCACCTCTGGCTCCTGTTTCTTCGCAGCTGCAGGCTTCTTTTCTTGTTTTATCAATACTTTTGATGGTAAAGGTCCTCAGGGCAGACAATGTTATTTATTGTGTAAGCTTCTGAATACTGTTGACACACACATAAATATGAAAATAACAATGTCCTATTTTGACTGAAGGGGCTTCCTTTGTAGTCTTTGTTCATTTGACTCCCTGTTTGGTGCTGGGGATGGAAGCTGGTGCCTCCTGCGTGGGGAGCGCTTGCTCTACCACTGAGCTACACCCTGGCTCATGTGGTTATTCTTTACAAAGAGCAGGCCATTTTTTCGATTGTGATTGTGAGAGGGGTTATAAGTGGGCCCCTCTGTCTTTAAAAAAAGAAAAACAAAGCCTGTGCTCGTTCTTTCTGTTGAGGGCAAGGATATGAGTTTTCATTCAGCTTTTATTGGAGTTAGTTAGGCACCGTGGAGAAACGTTTGTTGCATTAAGAGTGTTCCCTTATTTAGTTGAATGGTTTGCTGCTCCTGGCTTTAAATTTAAGAAAATACACTGTTTTGGGGGTGACGAGCATAACGCGAAGGTACTTTCTACCTGAAATCATTTCAACAAAGAGCTGGAGTTTGATTTATGATGTGGATATTGGTGGGAGGTTGATAAATATGCAGTCCGGCTTCAGTTTTTATCCCAGCCATCCAAACCATGCGGTTTCTTTCATTCCAGGGTCACTCGGTAAGTGATATTTGAATATGGCTGTAGCTGGTTTGCTGGCTTGCTTCAGACTGCAGGTCAGGCATGGCCTGCACGGCTAATGAAGCAGAAGCTAGGTGGCCGAGATGCATGTCCTCCCGGGGAATGCAGCCTCCCAGGGATGCCTTGGTGTCTCCTGCTGCTGGGAGGGCAAGTCTGGACCTCTCTGAAGACCTGGTTGAGGGTGTCCACTGAAGTCTACTGCTGTCTACTGCAGACTCACCGAGGAGAGCTTAAGCAAAGCGGAGCCAAGCATGAAGAGCCTGAGTCAGGAGCCGGTGGGAATACTCAGAGTATTATGGGCTGTTTGTGACTTGTATTTTCCTCCCATGGGCAGTCTTTCTGAACTCATGGCTAGAAGCAAAAGTCAGATTTGTTTAAATGTACTACCCCCAAAATAGGAATGACACAAACCGTAGTAACTCTCAAGAGGAATTGTCCTTTTCACTTCCCGGCTCACTGTAGACAAGCCTAGAGGGTATCCAGGAAACTGGAGTATGTGTGGCCTTCTTGGAGGATGTAGGTCACTAGGGGTGGGCTTTGAGCTTTTATATGTGCAATCCAGGCCCAGTATCACTTATTTTTTTCCTGCCTGTTGATCGAGGAATAGAACCCCCACCCATCACCTTCGCCAGCACCGTGTCTGCCTGCATGGCGCCATATTTCCCACGTGATGACAATGAACTCAACCTCTGAGCCTGTAAGCCAGCTCCAATGAAATGTTTTCCTTTATAAGGGGCTCTGTAGCCATGGTGTCTCTTCATGGCAATAGAAACCCTAACTTAGCTAAGTGTCACCAGCATCACCATAGTACCTCCTCATGGGAGAATGAATAATGCTGTTTAGGGGCACTTGGCAGAACTGGGGTAAACTGCTGTGTTGTTGTGGAAGCTGGAGGATTGAGTTGCCCTGGGAAGTCACTGGACCCCAAACTGGCCCTTCCTAGTTAGAGAGAAGAAGGCATCAGCATGCATGTGTGTATGTACTACATGCATGTGTATATGCATTGCAAGCATGTGTCTATGCAACCTACAACTGCGTTTGATGTTTTTTAGTATTGTCAAGTAATCTTTAGTTTATTGCGGCCTGTGGATTTTTATGAGCATGGCCTTCTACCAACAAGTGAATCCCAGGGTTCCACGACTGATGGCCCCCAGTGTCTGCCCTTTGCTTTCCCTGAATGTTCAAGTGTGTCTTTCAACGATCTGTGTTTCATCTTTTCACTATCTGCTCATGCTCATGCTTCCTAGTGTCATTTTGAGCCTCTGCTAAGTCCTGTCCTTGTCTTGTTTACTTTTTCCTCAGCTTGTTTTTATTGATGGAGTGCATGCCTCAGTGCTCCTTAAACCTTGGTAGCCAAGCATGCTTTTGGGACCTGCAGTGAGAACCAGCCACAGTTACAGATTAGTCCTGCAGCACCTGTTAAGGAGACAGGACACAGACACAGAAAGGAACATATTCAAACGAGGCCATTATGTCTCATTTCCATCCGAAACTTAAAAAATCTCAGAGGGATCAAAAGTTCTATGTGATTTTTTTCTGAGAGAAGATAATTGTTTGGCATTAAAGATGAAGTCTCAGAGATTGGTAGACAGTTGAAGACCAGGAATATATGTGATGGTCTTGCTAGCCGGTTAGGTCAGGGTTAGCTTGAAAAAGCAATGAGCATCTTCTATTTTCCCAGACTCTCCTTGCTCTGTGAAGATTCTGGGTCTCCTTTTCCATCTGATAAAGCTCTCTTTATTCTTCCTAACTTAGCTCCTGGACAGTGTCTCCACTGTTTTCCAAGGCACAGTTACCTATCTCCTACACCTTACCTAGAACTTCTATAGTAGCCTGTAGGACACAGCTGTATTATAACGTATACCAAGAAACAGAACAGGATTGCAGACTATTATGTAAAAAACCAGATCATAAACATTTCAAATTTTGCTGTCCATATGGTCTTTGCTGCAACTACTCCACTTGGCTGTCATGGGGTGAAACAGTCACAGGCAATATGTAAATGAAGAGGCCTGGCTGGGCTCCAATAACATTTAATTATGGACTCTAAAATGTGGGCTTCATATACACTGTGTGCGGCATGAAATACTCTTTCTCATTTTATTTTTTCTTTTAAGCATTGAAAGCCATAAAAATCAGCCATAAAAATACACATGGAGTTGGCATGCAGGCTTCACCTGCCCACCTTTGGCATAGGACAATGATTTGGACACATGCCTTCATCCTCTATTTGACCATGAACAAGGGGAGCTCCGTGAATACAGCCTTGCTCCAGACAACATAGTTCCTGCAACTGGTAAGAGTTTTACAAACTTAGCAAATACTTGTTACATGAATGCTTGTGTGAGAGCACGCTGTAATAATATTTCCCAGTATTAGTTGAGCTCTTATTATGATGCCAGACCATTTGACAAATGCTTTATTTGCACTTTCTCATTTAATTTTGTTATCTGGGGACATTAAAAGCAGTGATTATCATTCTATTCTGCTAAACACTGCATAGTCTCCTTCAATCCTCTCAATAACTCTACAGTGAATAGGTCCTGCTCAGGTCTTTCGAAGCTCAGAGAAAATACTCTCTTTGTGATTAGCTCTTTCTGTAATGTGACCAGCTGTCACCCAATGCTGTGACACAGTCTACAATGCTGTGACTTCCCTGTAGCAGTGAATTGTGGGTCAAAACGGACCTCTTCCTCCCCTAAGCTGCTTTTTGTCAGGGTATTTTATTGCAGTAGCAGAAATGGATTGGGACAGAGTTGGACTGATGCCCGAAGGCATCCAGTCACTGTCATCCTCTGCTGTGGGGACCCAGGACCTAGATGCCCTTCTTCATGAACTTGAACATGAGGCCTGTTGTGAACTTATGTGGCCGATTATGGAACAGTGTTGGTGACTCTTTTCATTCCTTGCCCACCCATTTAGTTATATGTAAGGATGATGGTGTTTGTTTTCTACCTACCCACGTAACATTTGGAATCTGCTTCAATTCTTTAAGCCCAATCTCCTGCCAGAAGAGTGAAGAGGTTGAATTATGGCTGTCAAACATCTCCTCTCGTGATAGGTTTCCGCACCTCCGTCTTCTGATGCCTTCTTGTTATTTATTGGCATTGCATGTCTTGGTTCTTCTCATAGTCCTTGGCTACAGAAAATTCAGGAGTTATGGCCTTGAACTTGGTGGTTGCTTTAAGGAAATCTGCTTTTCTGATTTTTTTTAATGCAATGCTAGCTTCTCCATGATTAAAAATAAGTAACTAAATGACAGTTGTGACAGTGTCTTCTATTTCACAGCATTGTTTAAAAGCAACTTTGAAGACATTATCCAGTCATCCTTCCAATGTTCCTTTGACACAGATAGGTGTTTTGTCTTTATTAGAAAATCCTTTTACATAGTTACAGAATGAGGCTTTCTTTGTTTTAAGACAATGAGTGGTCCAGAAGATTTCCATTTTAGGGTGACTGGTCACTTTCAAACTGATAGGCACAGTTCTTAAAATGCACACATACACACACACACACACACACACACACACACACACACACACAGAGAGAGAGAGAGAGAGAGAGAGAGAGAGAGAGAGAGCCAAAGTGCTTCAGAACTTCCAGAAATGTAAAGATTTATTTTTAATTATGTGTATGTGTTTGAGTCTGTGTGTGGGTATGTGCATGTGAATGCCCTTAGAGGCCAAAAGTGCATGTTGGTGCACCCGGAGCTGCAGTTTACAAGCGGTTGAATGGGCCAGTGCAGATGCTAGGGACTGAACATTAAGGAACTTTGCAAGAGCAATAATTGCTGTTAACTGCTGAGTCATCTTTCTGCCTCATTTTCAGAAATTTAAAGACACATTTCCCATTTAATATAAATATGGCCCTGGTATTTAAATATCCAACATCCTCTTTGACTCATGTATCAGTCAGGTGAACGACCCAGCTCATTCTAAATAAATATTTGCTGAAGGAGGAGAGGGACTGTTGTTGCAGTATTTGGAATGCACGCAGGACCTTCTACGCCATGTGGCCAGAACACTGGGCCCCAATTAACTGTGAGGGTGAGCCTGGTGGTTTCTCTAGGATTTGTTTCATAGACAAATTGGGACGCTTGTTCTAAGACAGTGATCTCTTTATCTGCAGATAATGAGGTGTTCTCAGAGTGGCAGAATTCCTATAAATAAAGTAAAAAAACTTGAAAAAATTCTGTATAAACAAACGTTTCAGACAATGAACAACTGTTCATTTACATAAAAGCAGCCAAGTCTGTGCAACAGGAGCTTTTGGTACTCCTGTGCAGTTATTTTCACAGGTAGAACCCGGCAGGCAGGCCAGGCCAGTAGTAACCCGAAAGAAGAATCAGAGTGTGTTTGGGGGAACCCTCCCATCTTCCTTGGTGTCCACATCTCTGCATCTTCCGCTACTCCACAAGACTGTTCTAATTGCGTGGACCTCCTCATTTTTAATTAAAAAGTTTTTATTTGTTTGTTGTTTGTTTACTTATTTATTTACATGCTTGCATGTATGTGTCTATGGAGAGCATGTCTGTGCCACAGGGCACATTGGAAGTCAGAGGACAACTTGTAGGAGTCAGTTCTCTCCTTCTACCCATGTGGGATTGAACTCAGGTCATCAGGCTTGGTGATCAGGCTCTTTGTGCAGAGAGCTGCCTCACGAGACTCAGACTTAATGTGTCACCCCGGATTCCTGTGTTGGAACCTTAATACCTCACTGCCACAGTGATGGGGGTGAGAGCTTGATGGGGCTCTGGTCAGACGGGCTCTGCCTCCCGTGTGGACTAAAGATGACATGAAAAGGACTTTCGGGAATGGTTTTGGTATCTTTTATCCTTCCAAAGGAGGATGCAGCAGAGAACCACACCAGACACTGGTGCCCATATCTCAAACTCACAGCCTCGAGAACTATGAAAATAACTTTAGCTCTGTGTAGCTTATCAAGTTCCAGCAGCAGAAAACAGACTAAGACAGCAGCCTTCCCGCAGCTGTCTAGACACAGGATAGCTCTGGTACCTATCCTTTCTTATTGCCCTTGCCTTTCCTTAATTAGTTAATTAGGGCATAACCACCAACCCTGTCTATGTGCGTGTGGAGATCAGATGAGGGCATCACGTGTCATGTGCTATCGCCCTGTAGACAAGGTCATTTGCCGGGCCTGGAGCGAGGCTGGCAGCAGCTGGTCCCAGTGATTCGTCTCCGTCCACCCCCTACAGTGTTAAGGTTACAGGTGTGTGTGTGTGTGTGTGTGTGTGTGTGTGTGCAAGCACACCCAGACTTTTACGTGGGTGCTGGGGATTTGAACTCAGGTCTTTATGCTTGTGCACTGAGTGCTCTTACCCACTGAGCCATCTTTGCAGCCCCTTTCAAAACTTCTGTATAAGTGGAAATCCAGCGGATAAGTTAATTCATGTTTTTTGTTCAGCTTATAGAGCCATAATTCTATGAAATGAAAGATAACTGAGTGCCTATAAATTGGGATGTAGACATACAACCTCACAGCAAAAATAGTTTAGCATGAAAGAGAACTATTTGCAAATTTATGCCAATGCATATTTGAAAAAAATATGTTTTAATGGATTGGATTCAATAAAATTGCAGTATTCAGTATTCTGTTATAAATCCACAGATAAAGTTGTCAATCGAACACTCTACATCAAAAGGTCAAAATCATCTAAAATGATGTGGAGTTAAATTTTTTTTCCAATAGTCACTGTCAAACATCACATTTCATAGGGAGGAATTTGATGAAAACATAAACTTCCTTTTCAAGCTCTATTTGGAATGTTCTAGTTGAACTCAGCAGTTGGGCACTTCGGCTCATGATCTGTCCCTGACTTTTCTGGCACCCTCTTTGGAGGGCTGAAGGGAAACCTGAGAAAGGTAGATGTGAGGGGGGAGTGTTAACACTCTGCTGAGACGGGGGCCACAGAGCGACCCCTGCCAACGTCTGCTGACAAGGGTGAGTGTCTTTTTCACCCGTCCCAGGGCCATGGAAATGAAGCTAGAGTGAGGATGCCCTCTGCTTTCAGCAGGCACTGGGCAGACTCACCCAGACTCTGAAAAGACGCCTAACCTTCCACGGAGAGTTTGCACTTAAAGAGCTGATTAGCCAAACAAATGTCCAATGCCTCGGTTTTAGTGCCGGCAGTGGTCTTTAGAGCAGTAGGTAAGAGGCCAAGTAATTCTTTCCAGGATAATTCCACAAACCTATACAGAGATTATGTGCAAGACTTCGGGAGCCTAGAGTACAATAGCCCTCCCTGTGTGCGGTGACTTAGGATCTTAGGCCTCTCCCATTGTGCACCTTGCCTTCCTATGCAATTAGATACAGATGTGATGGGTTGAATTATAATCAGGTCCAAACTGATATATTGTTGTAGTCAATTACAGGACAGCTGGAATAACATAAAATGAGTAATTTCCTTTTGCACTTTGAATCCATTATGGAGTCTAACCACTCAGACCAAGGCCTCCCTCTTAGATAGTCGTGAATTCATGCTGTAGGATAATACAGCAATACTGCAGGCATGCCAGCTGTCCATCTGCTAAGCCTTCTATGTTCTAACTGTGATGTTGAGGCAGGCGTAGTTCATACTTACATATAGCCTTGACCTCAAATCCCTCCAGCAGTAAAAGCAAGATAGACTGTTTATCTGGAGTTGTTTTGTTTGTTTGTTTTTATACTTTGTAGCCCTGGCTAGCCTGGAATTGACTATGTGGACCAGACTAATCTTGATCTACCTGCCTGCCTCTGCCTCCTGAATACTTGGATTAAAGGCATGCATTACCATGTCCAGATATGTTCGTAATTTTTACTCCAATATATTCAATATTATCAGGTGTGACTTCTTTTACACACACACACACACACACACACACACACACACACACACACACAGAGAGAGAGAGAGAGAGAGAGAGAGAGAGAGAGAGAGAGAGAGAGAGAGAGAGAGAGAGTGTTTTTCACCCTTTGGGTCTCTCTCTCTCTGTTTATGTGTGTGTGTGTGTGTGTGTGTGTGTGTGTGAATGCACACGAATGTAGAAGCCAAAAGTAAATGTTTCTCCAGCCTCTGTTTTGAGACAGGGCATTTTGCTGTGACCTGGGCTTGCTTGATTAGGTTGGGCTGGCCAGCCGGCAAACACTACTGAGCCTCCTTTCTCAGCCTAGCCTAGCCCAGCTTTCTAGTACAGGTGCTGGGGATTTGAACTCACGCCCTTGTACTTGTGTAGCAAGCCCTTTACTGAGTACCACCTTAGGCTCCTTTCAAATGTTTCTACTGTAAGCAAATAAAAG